TGCCTCTCAGTAATGGCTATGGGACTACTTTGGATTTGTGCTGAACACAGTGGTGAAGATAGAAGAGATGTTTTTGCTATTGCTGAGCAGACCTTGCGAGGAGCCAAGGCCTTTTCTGCCTCTTGCAGCCCCAGCAGTGAGGAGGCTGGGGAATGCAAGGGGCTGGGAGGGGGCATAGCCAGGACAGCTGGCCCCGCTGACCCCAGGGGTGTCCCACACCACATGGAGCCATGCTCAGCAGAGAAAGGCTTTTACCTTCCCAAGCAATCCTGACACTGATGGAGCCCTGCTTTCCTGGGCATGCCTGAACACCTGCTAGTTCCTTGTTTTGCTTTACCTGTTGCTCTGTCTTTATCTCAACCCACGAGTTTTCTCACTTCTACTATTTCTACAAGACTACGGTGACTCCTTCTTATGATGAGAAGTTACTCTGTTATTTTGTTTTTAATAAATGTCTTTAAATATTTATTCAAAGTGGCTTAAAAAAATCTGCAACATATTTTTAATTAAACACTGCAAGTTAACATTGTTTTCCATATTATGTTTTTGAATGTGCAATTTTTAAATGTGCAAATTTATAACTCATTTTGTAGCTGTGCTAGTGATGTAATTAAAGAATTACATCTCTCTGGAGAAAATGCAATATGCAAAGCATAAAACCTAAGTAAAGGCCTTAAGCAGATAGTTGAAGGGTCTTTATTTTTCTGTGTACATAAAACTTACCTGATTCTAAATACAGACTCTAAGTCTGTTTGAAATGGAGCCTAAAGAATCAGCAGAGCCTGGTCACCACCAGATGTGCTGCTTTAAGGACCAACAGAGCCCCTGGAAGCCCATGGAGTTCACTCCTTGCACAGTTTGTGTCCAGCATTTTGCCACATTATTCTCTCAGCACACACATAATTGAGCACACAATTATTGCCTCTGCTGTGCCTGTGGCTTTGTTCTCCTTCAGCTCATCACCCTGAAGAATTCCAGAGCTTCAAATAAGAGATTTCAAAGGCCTCCCCTCCTTTATACAACAGCAGACACCTGCTACAGAGCTCCCTCATTTCCATTCCATGCTACACCAAATTGATTGCCACAAACAGCACATACTAAGGTGTGGGGACACTGTTATTCTTACAATCTTATGGTGACAGTGACCAATAGAAAAAAAACCACAAGAAACATTATAGGTGAAACAGCTCTGTTCATGGTCCTTAAGGGGCTTCAGGACAAAACATTAAAAATAAAGTTCTAAAGATCAAAAATTAGAAGAGATTATGAAGTTGCTTCACCAAGGGAGGTGAAAGTTTCAACATTTTTCTTCTTTCTTTTTGTGAAGTCAGTACATCGAAATTCCATGTCGGTGGATTATTTTTTTAAGAATTTCCTTTTAATCTGATAGTACTAACTTTAAAAAGTAGTCTTACTAGAGCTTTTCTGCTTTTTCCTTCTGCTTACAGCATTAATGTTTTTTTCCAGAAGTAATTTTTAACTTTGCTTCAGAAAATATTTTCTCCCTGTCAATTGCATTTTCATCAAATGAAAGTGTTAAAAATCAAGTTTAGATTCGAGGCTGCTGACAATTGGGAAAAAAATTCCATTATAGGACACCTGCCAATGTAGAAGAAGACAATAAAACTTGAATTGTCCATTCTTATTCTCTCCAAATTTTATATGTTAGGCTGAGGCACAGAATGAATTAAAATAGAACAATTAAACCCTTCTATTTAAGTCCCCAAAGAAGAGACAGTAGACCTGTTACCATAACATTTGCAGATTAATAGTACAATAATTCCTACCAAAAACCTCCCATCTCTTGGTATCTCAGGGAATATCTCTTTGCCAACTCACTGGACCCAGACCTTTAATGCCATTTCACTACTGGCTGATATTCAGTCATTTAGCACAGGAAGATGAACAAACCTATTGCAAACCTGTCACATGTGCTGTGTCTCTTCAGCTGTACAGTTTCATCCATCAGCTCAAATTTAAAATCTGCAGACTGTTTTAAGTACAATAATCAAGAAACTGAAGGCAAAATATAAAAAGCATCATCTCATGCCACTACTATTTCACAATATCCAGAAGGGCTAAAATTCTACTTAAAAGAGATCTGTCAATTTTCAAAACACATTGTTTAGAGAAGGTGCAGGAGCAGCAGCAGAACTGGCAGTAGCACCACAAAGCAGAACTGCCAGCCCTGCTTAGCTGCACTTCAGAGCATCCCCAGGAACCAAGACAAAGAGTTCTCCAGCTGATCTCAGGATCTCCTCCATACCTACCACATTAAAAAAACACACTAAGTTTTCTATATCACTTAACCTTAGGATTCTACCAAGTTGGATAAACATTATGCAAACACTGTAGATTTACAGCATATGTTCATAGAAGGTTAAGCCCTATTGAGAAGTACATATTTAGCTGTGTATACACAATTACAGAATAGGTACTCTAAGCACTAAATTACATTGCATACTAAGTAGGGGGACTAGTTCTTCCTGTAGAGTAAACAGTTTTTATTCTGTGCTAGAGAAAAACATAAAAGGAAAATAAATGTTTAACAGACAGTTCTACTGAAATCATTCAGTGACAAAAAAACAAAATACAAAAAAAATATGGCAATGCTTCAGGTATACTGAAATTAGTTCTAACAGGAGGCAATTCTCAGACAAAAAAAAATCTCAGGATATTATTGGAATCTTTGTTACCCTGTAACTAAAAACTGTAGCAATTTTATATGTTGGCTACACATATCCTGTCAGCTTTTCAAGTGTAGCCCAATCCTCACCAACACGTTTCCTAAAGCTCAGGCTGCCCCCTTGCTTTTCCCTGCTATATCAGAGGGGAGCAGGGCAGAGGCCTCATTTGAAAGATTCCCTGGGGGTTTTGAGCACAAGGATGTGCCACTACCTACCCTCTTGCAGCTGCAGCACTGAAGGCTTGAATTTCTGCTCACTTTTGCCCACTGCAGGAGGGGGAACAAATCTTATTGGCCATTAGAAACCTTCATCTATCCCCCTTCCTGCAAATGAAAGGGGATGTTGTTATGGAAGACCTCCAAAACTGCACTAGTAAAGAAAGGAGATGTGAGACAGCAAGCAGGACACAGGCAGATGAAAATTTGGTGCTAGGAACCACAGTAATATTTATTTCTAACTGGCAATTTTTCTCTTCCAGGTTGTATGCATTGAGGTTTTTTAAAAAAAAAGGATTTTTGATATCTTGCATAGTAAATATCATCTACTGAAAGGACTGAAATACAATTTCTGCTACAAATTACTCACTAGGCTACTGATAGCTAGTGATTGCCCTCAGCCTGTGTACCTATGGAAAGATAGGCAGGCAGGTACTAATAACTCCTCCTTCTCCTTCACCCTCTTTACTTTTCCATATTTTTCACAGGTTTCTCCTTTTCTCTCTCATGTTCCTTTCACAGCCCCACGTGGAAGGTAAACCAGATAATGTTTGAGTTAGATATTTGACTCCATTTGGTTAAATTTACTTGGAAATCAAGCAAAGCAAGTATGACCCACTTAAGTCACTGCTGTTGAACTATGACTTAACAATGGACAAGCATAAGAGCAAAGAATATTTACTTAAAATGAAGCAATCCCTGTAGAGTTTTGTCCTTCTGGCAATAAGGAGGGAGTATACCTGGGCAGGACAATGAGCACTTAACAAAAAAACAAACACAAAAATGATCATTCTAAGAAATATTTAGCAAGCTCCCACTGAGAACACTTGTCCACTAAGAAATGCACACATCCTTTCTGATGCAAGGATCACATTCTTTTTGCTTTCATTCCAGCCACAAGTCACACATCCAGCTCCAGTTTAGCCCTCCCTGAGGAAAATGCACATATAATTGATGTGGTTTTCCCCTTGCTGCCTCTTCTCAGGTGCCCTTCACAGAGGTGCGAGCCCCTCTGCCAGTCTGGGACAGTCAATTGGGTAAAATCACTCAGGTGAGAATAATGGAGGACACGGCACATGGCATTTGTGGGAAGAGTTCAGTTACTAACACTTTGAAGGATGCACAAAATATTAACAGTAAGCAAGCATGACAGTGAGCAGAAGGGAAGCCAAGTGTGTAGCCTTGACTGAAAATTCCGACAGTGGCAGGAAGGGGATTTAGGGCTGCTCCTTCAGGTAACTGGGCCCTAGTGATGCCAAATTCAGATCCCTGAGTGGGCACCGTATATAGCACCAGAGTCAGGCTGTTGTTCTCTGCCAGAGAAAAGATAATAAAACCACAGGCTAATAACCTGGGGATCATTAATGTTTCTGTAGTAGCTGGAATATATCAGGACAGCTTGAAGCAGCACCCTCCCTGCTCTGCCTGCTCCCAGGGTGACAGCCCAGGATTATGCTCAATTACTTTAGGTCTTTGTTATACAGCAAATGGAAAGGATGGAAACTAAAGCTGCACTCCAATTGAATATAAAAGTAATTCCAATTTATTAAATTATTGCAGACCACACAGTTCTTGTGGAGCTACTTCTGAAGAGTATGTCTTACTAAATCTCTTAAAATATATTGACTTTGCCAGCTTTAGCCCACATGGCAGCTCCTCTATTCAGTAACCAAACTGTTTCATGTAGAGATTAACCCAGTGATCCCACACTTGAAAGAGATCGCTGCAGGACTTCATTCATATTCTAACACCACCATTCTATTGGGAAAGGCTAATTAATCCACAGTAATAGCACAGTGATGGAACCTGAAGGAACTGCTGAAAGGTGGCTTTTGACTGAAGCTAAGGTGCTTCAGTCAAACCAGCAAACTTTATCTATGTGCTATAAATAAGTATCTTACAGGACCAACAAAATTATGGGAAATAGAGGACTAAATCATTAGTTGGATATTATATTCGTAACTGGCTGCTAAATATGCCCCTTCTGACATGGTGTTTGTGTTATAACATTGATCTCTGGGTAAGAGGCAACAGTCCGCAAGAGCTAACTAGGGTTTTTTTTATGGTAAAATAAATTGATGAAGAATATTTTCCTTACCTTATCCTTGGAATTCAAAAGATTCTTTAAAAAACTTTCCAAATTTCAAGAGCTATTCCAAGAGAATGCAGTCCTCATACGAGATTTTTAGTTTACAACTTTACAAAGAAGTATGCAAGTTCTGAGTGAACGCAATTGTAAATTTGCTCTTTGAACCCATGTAGCAGTGCATAATTGTTGGAACTATTTGTTATACACTTTTTGGGAAATAGAATTTAAAATGCATGCACATATGCTTAAATTCCTAGCATCACACATCTGGGCCACAAACTCGGAGAGAATTACTAAGGTACCTAATTCTGTAAAAATGAGCAATCTCAGCAAATGCAAATTTCCATCTGAAAAGATAATTAGTATTAATTAGTGGACCTAATGAAACACAAAACATTTACCTTAATAATTTTAATACTTAAAAATCGATTCTGACTGCTTTTATCTGCCATATTTTTGTCCTTGATAGTAACCAGAATAGATTTCAGTTCATATTTTCCTTACACCACTCCCTTGCTAGCATAACACAGACAATTAGATCCAAAAGTTCTGTTTAGACCATGTCTTCTAAACAACCAATTTCTGTACAGTTCAGAGCACTGTCAGGGAGCCCAATGTCTCCAAGTATTACTGGAAAGAGAGATATTGTCAGGACACAGTTTAGGTGCCCTGGGTGAAACAGAGAGAGTTACTCCCAGGTGGTAAGCACCCAAGCACCTTAGGCATTCACTAGTACAGAACATATTAAACTTCATTTCTCACAGTCAGACTCCTCACTTCCCTTAGAAGTCAGACACTTTAGGGGGCTAAGAGTACACACTCAAGCACTGGAAATGCACCTGAACATTCCCCCCTTTCTGGGCTTGTGAACAGCTAGGAAAATATCTTCAAATGTTTTCCTGAGTTTAAAAAGACCATCTACAATTTTATTCTGTGGTGACTAATCAAATATTTGCATATGGTTCATTAGAATTAAGCAATACCATGTCTCTCTAAAATTGTCCTCAAGAGAACCAGCACAAATATCTTTACACCCTGGCTCCTTGACGAGAGCTGCTGCAAACACCTGCGTCAGAACCTGCGCCGCCACTTTCCACGAGTGAGAAGTGTTTGGCAGAGAAACAGGCTACCTAAAGGTCACTTCACCTCTCCTCACCTCTCTCACATCCACATCCCTGTCCAAGAGAGCTGCAGTTTAAGATCTTCAAGCTCAGCCTGCAAATGAAATTCTGTGTAAAAGTCAGAAGATGAGGAGGAATGGGAGGGAGGCTGCGGAGCCCGTTTACCAAGGCAGTGACTTTCACAGAGCCCTGAGCAAGCACACACAGCTTTGCAGTGGCCCCACACTGCTGTCTCTACTTGAGCAGAAATCATTTGGCTGTCTGAAATAACAGCACAAACCAGAAGAAACAGTTTTCTGTGAATAATTTGAGTTCAGCCATTCTTCCTTGCAGCAGATCAGACTCAGAGATGATACCAGCTCACTCTTGCATGTGAAAAGCAGTGGGGATGATCAAGTGCAGTACTTATTCAACTGAAGAATGGTGTGGGGCCCAAAAACACAAAGGGATTGTGAGGTGCAATAGGGAATAGGAAATGGTATTCCAAGAACCAAAGAAAACTGCAGTTGGGAATGACACTGTGCACCTGCTAAAAGCTGGAGAAGATTTGACTTTGCACTGGAAAATAATTAAGATTATTGCATTCTAATAGGTGAATAAAGTGAGACCAGGAAGTGGAAACTGCTGATAAGACTGTAGAAAAAAATCTCACTCAAATCTTGTCCCCCTGTAGAATGCCCCAGATCAGCCAAGCCAAGCTCATAAAATTAGGGAATAATAAATAAATGCCTCAATAAACAGATAATTGCCTTGTTCCTGTTCTGAGACTGAGCCACACTGTCTTGAAAACAACATTTAAATAATCCTTCTAGAAACCCCAAATATAAACAAATATTATTTATCTCTTCTCCAAAGCAGGAAATTGAAGTAATGAGATTAAAATATTTTTCCAAAGCTACAATTCAAGCCATTTGCAAATAGGATTAGATCTCAAGATCCTAGACCAGCCTTCTGCACACTAGAATATATGAACTCTTTATTAAGCTTTGGGGAATACTTTCTTAAAATAAGAAAAAAAAAAAATCTCTTTGTCTAAATCTGTGTGTTAGACTGTAAATGTAGTAGTAAGAACAGTGCAGTTTACTGATTAGGAAAGGATTACATGTTGATAAAAAAACCCGATCAGATGGCTGCACACACTGTAGAGCAAAGAAACACTTCACGCAAATGAGAGTGCAGGGCAGGTGCACAGATTATTCTACAGAGCACCAGATGCAGCAGTTGGTTTCACCCATGCTTTGCATCTGTGGGTAACCTTAAAACAGTACTGAGGGGATTTTTTACCTTTCAGTCTTTCTTGATTTGTAGTTCTGATTCATTGTAATCCAGACATTAATATTAGTTACAGGGAGAAAATGAGAAAAAAGAGATGCTTATCAGGGTGTTCTGAAGCTTAATTAATATTTGCAAAGCTCTTTGAGCTTCTTTGATGAAAGAAGCCATAGAGGGCAAAGTACTATCTTATTATTATTATTTTTATTATTATTAATTAGTTTTCTATTGAATTCACTGTGTCAATATATGGATTGTTGAACCCACTTGCTTCACCAATTGTTGTACTGTGCTCTTTACAAGTGGTCTTTAGAAGCTTCATTGTGGTGATTGAGAACATTGAAGAGGAAATAAAACAGAAAATAAAGTCTACTTACAAGTTACAGACCCAAGTTTGAAACAAGCGTTTTCTCCACTGATCTGGAAGAAATTGTTGCCATAGCAATGATTGCATTTGATTACACTGATTATTTCCTTAGGTACTGGACTGTCCCTTGAAACACTGAGCTTCTAGATATTTGGGAATAGTCTGCCAAAAAAAAAAAAAAGTAAAGAAAACCCAAACATGACTTAGGAAGTTTAGTTCTCTGTTGTAGTTATTAATTCCCCTGTGTCCTGCCCATGACACACTCCTCTGGGAGCAGGTGAGGTGCTGCCCGTGGAGGGCTCCAGGGCACAATTGGAGCTGTGGTCACAGGAGGGCCCAGGACAGCTCTGCACGGGGCCAGCAGCCCTGCCCACCCCTGTGCCCAGCCCGGGCTGACTCCTGTGACCCATTCCCTACCTGGGCACCCCCCATTCCCTGCCTGGATGGAAAGTGCTACCTGGCCTCCTCCACAAGGACCAGAGGCATATGAGCAATACAGGGTTTTTCCACTAATTGCCATTTAAACCCACAAACAACAGATGAATCATTGAAAAGAAAATCCATATCTAGAATTCATTTGTAAATCAGTCAAACTTTGACTTCATATTTAAAAGTTAAGGCTACTTGTTTCAGTGTCCACATACTCAATTTTCAACACTTCTTTTCTGTAAAGACAGGAATGTTAATTAAAAATATTAATTTAAAATTTCCCCCAATTATTTCTCTTTTTCATTGAAAACAGTAACCAATCTCATCACAGCTAAGCTCATTTTGAACTCTCTGGGAAATAAATACTTTTAGCTCAGTGCTATTTTATGTACTTCCATTAACTACAGATAGGAAATCTGAAATTAGTATGATTATTTATAATTGTATTTTTTTAAATATCAATTACTGCTTTGTGTTGCTGCTGAAGTTAAAGTACTGGTTGTCAGCTTATGTAAATCTACATTGTTGCAGTGGAAGTTTATCTTCCAGCATCTGAGAACCAGGTTTCTGCATACCAAATTCCAAATCTTTTAGCTGTGTGTGACTCACTAGCAAGAAAAAGCTTCTCCCTCCTGTGCACAAGGGTATTCAAAGGCTGCATTTCCATTTAGAAAAACCATGGTTATACACTTTAGGTAGTGTGCATTGATTTATTTCTTCAGCCAAGGGTAGAGAGGAGCACAGACTATAGGAAAAAACTGCTTTTTCAAGGGTCCCCAGAGCAGCCTCTCTTGTGCCAATCACTCACTTTTATCAGTCACTATTCCCACAGCCATTTCATACACAGGACAGTTTTCCAGCTGGACACCAAGCTTGACTCCATTGCACAGATTTGTTTATAGCTCACACTTCTCCCCTTTCCCCTCCCCCTATTTATGCCAGGAACAAGCTGCATTATTTTTCTCTTTGTGAGGACATCATTTAGTTTTCACTCAGCCTTTAACAAGGTTATACACCCATTAAGAATTAAGCATGTTTTGCCACCAACAGATTTGACCGCTGGAACATACTCATTTTTTAATATAATGCTGTTTTAAAAAAGGAAGGCAAAGCTAAAATCATTATTATGAAAATGAGACTAGCATTTGGAAAGAAAAGACAAGCAATTTCACAGCAAACAAAGGGATCCGTAATAACACGTCTCTATAGTCAGCCAAATGCTTTGATTATTTTTTTAAGCAGTCATTTTCTTTTATTTGTAAATTTGGGATTATAATGAAAGTTGGCAATTGAGTAGGTTACAATTTTAAAAAGATCTGCCAATAGGAATGGCAGTGAGAGTACTGAAAGCTACTATGTGAAATGAATAAATTCTGTGGAGAATATATAAAATCTTTTACTCTTTGGAAGTTTGCATAAAGCTTGGAAGCCTTGGGAATAGCTGTGATTGCAGGCTGGAGAGCTGTGTGGGGATGTCCAAGCTGCTGTGCCCCCAGAGCTGGAGTGCAGAGCCCTGTACAGAGCCCCATCCTGCAGTGCTCTGCCTCCCTCAGCAGAACTGGCACTGGCAGCTCATCCCATGGAGCTCAGCCCTCCATGGGCTGCTCCTCTCAGACGCTGGGATATGCTCACACTTTGCACTGCTACCTCAGAAATGCCTGCACACCATCTGCATTGCATTACAGACATGCCAAGGAGGTTAAGTGTGCTGTGCCTTGTTCACACTGATTTCCTAACTCTGACTTCCTTGATTTCCAAGGAAAATCCATTAGGACCCATCTCATTTGTTTCTTCCCATTGACTACCAAAGGTGCTAAATCATTCTATAAAATGTTTCTCAGTTTATTACCTAGCTTGTTTTATGACTGCAATAATTGCTAGACTTAGTTCTTTAATCTTCAACACATCATCTCA